CGACGGAGATGCTTTGAAACGCCGTCCTGAAATGGATTCTGATAAGGTTTTTTTCTTGTCTTTCCCCGTCGCTCTCATGTTTTTTTGGTTTTACGTCTGTGTTTTTGGTAAACAGTGCATTTGAAATTTCTAGTTTGGTGGCTGTTTCTAGATCTACTCCGATCTAGCTCCTCTTTTCTTCGTTTGATGTATTAGACTCTTAGTACAGTTGAATCGATCTGTATTCTCGTGTTTGTTTCGTCGTTCGTCCTGATCTGAGCTCACCGGAGAGATTTTCCTCCGACGAGGGATTTCTGATAGGAGACTGCGATTTTGACTTCAATTGTTTGCATGCAGTAGCTAGAGATTACTCTCCCAGCTACAACTTCGACCTTCTCTTTCAGAGATCTAATCAGTAGTAACCTTTGAATCCTGTGGAAAATTTAGGGCAGAAATAGTTTATTCCATCTGGGTAAACTTCATTTCACTCGATAGACAACTTTTATAGAAGGACATTGATGCATATATAACTAGCTTGAACTCTCTTCACATGTTTTATGGAATATTTCGATTATTTATGTCAAACACTGTTCACATTTAAGTACAATTTGCTTGTTTGTATATCTTGATTATTTGTTTCCAATACTGTTCATTCTTCAAAGTACAATTTGTTTGTAGATCTCTGAATTCCCCCATCAACGGGTTTTGGAGTATTCCTATAGTTATGGTTCTTGGCCCATTGCTTTCCTGTCTATTTGCGGCCGACATTTATTCTGGAATTTTTTTTTAGGGCGTGACATTTATTCCATTGGTTTCACATTTTCTTTGGTTTAATCTATTGTTCTTTGAAAACAAGCCAAGCGGTTTTTGAGATTTAGACGAACTAACCGAAGAAAGATAAAATGAAGTTGTTAGGATCATTTATGTAATAGTCACAACAGTGTTCTCATAGTGCCATATTCATCCTGAGGTTTGTTGAAATGGGAGGAAGCAGTAAATGCCTACACTAATATGTGAGTTGGATTGCAGGAAATGTCTGCTGCTGTTATAGAGGGAAATGATGCTGTAACCGGTCATATTATTTCCACTACGATTGGGGGCAAAAATGGTGAACCGAAGCAGGTTGGTTTCTAATGTTTGCAAAATCTTTTTTAAATAGCCAAATAGCAGTTAATGCTTATTTTTGCACAGTATCAGGTGTAAGGATACTGCAGGTTTAGGTTATTTATTTTTGTTGCTTGAATATGTGAAACAGTAAACACCAACTTTTTCAGTGAGTATTACTTTCCAACTATTAACAGATTGTAAATAAGTAGATCCTGATCTCTCCGTGACTCCTTCCAAGTCGAAGTAATTTATCTCTCTCTTACATTATCTTCATTATGTTCCCTACAGACAATTAGTTACATGGCTGAGCGGGTTGTTGGAACGGGATCATTCGGAATTGTTTTCCAGGTACCTTTGTGCTTCTCAATGCTATTGCTAACATTTGCAGGCCATAAATTTTCTATTTCCTTTCTTATTCAGACAGTAAATTACTATTTTAGGCAAAATGCTTGGAAACTGGAGAATCAGTAGCCATTAAGAAGGTTTTGCAAGATCGTCGCTACAAAAATCGTGAGTTGCAACTCATGCGACTAATGGATCACCCAAATGTCATCTCCTTGAAGCATTGTTTCTTCTCTACAACAAGTAGAGATGAACTCTTCCTTAACCTCGTTATGGAGTATGTACCTGAGACTTTGTACCGGGTTTTGCGGCACTATACTAATTCGCATCAGAGGATGCCCATTTTCTATGTCAAACTTTACACATACCAAGTATGCACTGTTATTTGCATTTTCCGTAACATGTACTCTCATTTAATAAAGGTGACTCTGAAAATGATTAGAAACTTTCTAACGCAGATTTTCAGAGGTTTGGCTTACATCCATACTGTTCCTGGTGTTTGCCACAGAGATGTGAAACCACAAAATCTTTTGGTACGTTATCTAGCAGGCATGTCTTTTGTTACCTTGACTAGTTTCTGAATCTAACTTTCTAGTGCATATTGTAGGTTGATCCCTTAACCCATCAGGTTAAGCTGTGTGATTTTGGAAGTGCAAAAGTATTGGTAAGGATGTTATTGCTTCATTAATTCATTTTTTCTTTTATTTCCGGCATGCTTGTGTATCTATGCATGCAGTTCTTTGAGCTGCCATTAAGTATGAGTTTTACCAATTATATTGCTTTCCGGTTTCTGAGTACTTACTTATTTAGGGAAGTACATGAGCGTTCCACATTTTCTCTCACCACATTCAAACATTCATTTCTTGCATCTCTGTTTTGGTAACCCTTTGAAATGTTTGGTAATTCATATTAGGTCAAAGGTGAAGCAAACATATCATATATCTGCTCCCGTTATTATCGAGCTCCAGAACTCATCTTTGGAGCCACTGAGTATACAGCATCCATAGATATATGGTCTGCTGGTTGTGTTCTGGCAGAGCTTCTTCTTGGCCAGGTTAGTGTAAATTTCTACACGTTAATTACCGTGTTATATCCAGATAATGCCTGCCCAATATTATATTAT